CCAAGTTTAATGTTTGGTTAAAAAAAAAAAAAAAAAAAAACCTAATTATAGTCTACCTCAAACACAAATCTTCCAACGTACTGCAGGAGATAAGCTGCAAAACTAGAACTATAACAAACCATTTAACTGAAAAATGTTTTTTGGTTCAATTTCATTCTTTCTTTTCTTTTCAATTTTCAAGCTAATTGCCACATAATTAATATGCCATACCCGGAAACAAATATTTTAATAAAATCAAATTTAAACCAAAGATAAGCTAAACTTAAACTACACCACACATGTACCTTTTTTGTTAAATCATTCCTGCAAGATTCACACCATAGGTATGAATTGAAATTTCAGTTTATTAAACTTAATATTCTGTCATTAGGTCATAGATCGTAGAGTGAGAGAACTGTGTGTGGAAACAGAAATTCTTCCCCTGGACACATCTATATATACCATACAAGAGAAAGGTTTTAGGTAAGAAGAAAACTTTGCAGGATGTTACATGTACAGTTCTTAAAGTTCTGTAAGGAGGCTGTGTGGCTGAGTGGTCAATGCATCAGACTCGCAATCCAGTGGTCCCTGGTTTGAGTCCCACTCTGGTCACTTACTGAATTTGTTCACAGCTGTCCTGAGTTGAAATCCTTGGCCACACTTGTAAATAGCCGACTGCAGGTTGCCTCCTTCCAGTTGGGATTCTTAACCATATTATGTTCATTTTAATTTTTTGTTTTGTTATCCTGAAAAGCCCCATAAGGGGAGAGGATACATTTTTTAAAAAAGTATTTACCAGTATGACTATAATTATTATTATTTGTTGTAAATTAGGCAATAGCGTGCTTTGGCAATTTGTTCTTCTAATGGCAATGAATCAGGATTCAAAAGTCCTTGTGGCCAAAGTCAAACTTCCACAAAAATTCCAAATGCCATTGTTTAAGATGTGGAAAAACAAGTAGTATAATGTAACAGTAGTGCCATAGGTTTTATTTTATAGTCAAGTGAGGTAAAGCGTAAGCTCATTTTCCAGGGTGTCTATACGCCCACGGTACTCCCCACCTGACTGGTCGCATCAAGACACCCAAGGCTGGAGACTGAACCTTCCCTGTAGGTGAAGTGTAGCCCCTGAGATTCTATTTTATGAATTTACTACATGTACTTATGAAATGACTCCTGGGTTCAAACCTTTCACAAAGTTGAATCCATCAGCAGTTGTAGATTTCAGATTCAGTGCATCTCGGCATTCCTACATGCATAAAGAGCAGTGAAGTCACACCGGTGGTAGTTTGTCAGTTTTCTTGACTTTGATAAAAAGTTTTTCAAAGCAATTTTATCCATTCAAGGATTCTTCATTCTTACTGAATACTGAGAATTAAGTTGTAGCCAAAAATTCACTGCTCATTATGCATGCAGTAATGCAGATTTAAATTTGATACTGGTTTTAGCAATGACCAATGGATTCCTTATGTCATATAATTGATTCATTATGGAATCTAGTGGAGTGTGTTTGACCTCGCTTGTCTGTAATTGCGGGGTGCAAAGAAAGTCAGTTTTTTTTGCAGACAAGCTGTAGCTAGCATGTACTAGCCCGAAAGTCATTTCAACTAGCCTCAAAAAAATTTGATGAGCAGGATTGACTACAGTTCTTCTGGAATTTGAATTTCCCCCCAAAAAATTCACCTGCCCATTGTGTAAATTAAGAACAGAATTCACTAGCCCGACAGCAAAATCCACTAGCTCCAGGCTATTGGACACCACTTTCTTTGCACGCTGAATTGTTACACTATAGGACTTTATCAGTAGACTTTAAAATGATAGAACCATCATAAAAGACTCTGACCTAATATTCTCTCTGACTCTGCTTGTTTTCTCACCATAGGGCTATAATAATATCTGGAGGACCCAACAGTGTGTATGCCGAAGATGCACCCAAGTATGATCCAGCTATTTTTACCATTGGACTGCCAGTCCTAGGCATATGTTATGGAATGCAAGTATGGCTAGATGGATATAAGTAATTTGTTGAAATGTAGAAGTAGTTAAAACCCAGGTTAATTAAACTCTCAAGGGGAAAATATTACTTTGATTTACTTTGGAGTTTGAGTTACAGTCAAACCAAGTCAAACGTACCCTCCAAGATTCTATCAGTGAATTGATTATTTGAAAAATGAATCCGTTAGTCGTTCCCGTAACTGGTGTCAAATTCAAAGCGGCATTTCTGTATGCGTAATGAGCAGTGAATATTTTACGAGAACTTTTCTGTATTTGGTCAGATTGGAAATCTTTGAATGGATTAAGCTTCTTGGAAGACATTTACATCAATTTCAGGAAAATGGAGCTGGTAGAAATTTCATAACTGCCTCGCATGTGAATTCAAGGCTCATTACACATACAAGAATGCAGAGATCAATCTGAAATCTACAACTAGCAACGGATTCAACTTTTGAATAATAAATTCATTAATGGATTCTTGGGGGGTACGCTTGACCTGGTTTGACTGTAACAAGGTTCTACTAGTATTCTACTGCGAATTTGAGCACTTTCACACATTTTTAGCAGTTAGGTAAGGGTATACATTGTACATGTTGTAAATAGGATTTTTCTTTAATAAGTGAGGGAGACGATGAGAAAGAGACAAAAAGAATTTGGGACACAGAAATAATTTTATTACCAGCAAACAAAGGTTTTTTTAACCCATTCGCCCCTGAACCGCCCGTAACCGCCCGCGCGGATCCAGGTCCTTTCTACCCTTTGTGACGTCATCAGTTTTAACGGTCAAGGACAACTTTCTCGCTAACTTGTGTAGAGTGAAGAGATCTTTCAAACCATACCAGAATGAGCACAATTCAGTCAAGGACACCGGAGAAAGAAGCAAAAAACCACAAGACATTGACCTGAAAATCTCCATGAAAATCTTGTTCCATTACCCACCTACCTTTCCTTTCACCTAATCCTAAGATCCTAAAAGCTTTCCTAAAAACTCTTCCCACCAAATTGAAGCCTACTAAATGCCCAGCAAGAGAAAAAAAAAATGAGGCAAGAAAAGCGAAAAAAGAAGGGAGGAGAGAAAGCGAAAAGTAAAAGTCAAGACTGCTGTGTCACTTTTAAACCCAAAAACTATGTCGAAATTTTGCTTTCTGCGCATGCCCGAACTTCGCAAGCTAATATTTTGCATCTGGATCAGAAGGCCGCGAAGTGTACGACCTGTAAACCGGTTTGTGGTAAGTTTTAGCCCTTTATAGCACGACAGTGACCAGAAAACCACTCGACTAGCTTCAAAACGCGTTTTTCGGCAAAATCTCCAGGAGCGAATGGGTTAATTAGTTTACCATTATGTTTCTTCTGATCTGTACACTATTGACTGTGGGGTAACAAAACAAGTCATGTGAACAAAGTTATAGTTATTACCATCATCATCATCATTTTTGTTTTTGTGTTATTGTCTTTAACTAAAGATGCTAAACAAAGAGTTTGGAGGAAGTGTGATGAAAAAAGACATCAGGGAGGATGGAGTATTCAAGATAAATGTGGAAACATCCTCACTAATTTTCAGGTACATGTACGGGATGGTATACATAGTTGAATACCTTGTAACTCAATG